CCCAGCACCCAACAGGGACACCGGGACCAGAACCAGAACCCAGCACCCAACAGGGACACCGGGACCAGAACCCAGCACCCAACAGGGACACCGGCACCGGGACCAGAACCCAGCACCCAACAGGGACACCGGGACCAGAACCTGCGCTGACACCAGCACCCAACGCTGGCACCCAGAACCGGAACCGGCACCGGGACCCAGCACCCAACAGTCAGCACCAGGACCAGAACCAGCACCGGCATCAGGACCCAGCACCCAACAATGGCACCAGAACCGGAACCAGCAGCCAACAATGACACTGGGACCGGCACCAGGACCCAGAACCGGGAGTGACACCCAGCACCCGGAACCGGCAACGGCTCCCAAACACCCGCGTTGAAGATGGCACCGGCACCCAGAACCCAAACATGGCGCTGGGACCAGAACCGGGACCAGAACCGGGACCAGGACCCAGCACTGGGATCCAGAACCCATCACTGGGATCCAGAACCCAGCACTGGGATCCAGAACCCAGCACTGGGATCCAGAACCCAGCACTGGGATCCAGGACCCAGAACTGGACACTCAGCACCCAACACCAACCCTGGAACCAGAACCGGAACCAGAACCAGAACCAGGACCAGAACCAGGATCCAGCACCCAACACCAGTATCAGGACCAGAACTGGGACCCAGCACCCAACACTGGTATCCGGACCAGAACCAGGACCAAGAAGTGGAACCCAGCACCCAACACCGGTATCAGGACCAGAACCAGGACCCAGCACCCAACACTGGTATCGGGACCAGAACCGAGACCCATCACCCAACACTGGTATCAGGACCAGAACCAGGACCAGAACCAGGACCCATCACCCAACACTGGTATCGGGACCAGAACCAGGACCAGAACCAGGACCCAGCACCCAACACCGGTATCAGGACCAGAACCAGGACCAGAACCGAGACCCATCACCCAACACTGGTATCAGGACCAGAACCAGGACCAGAACCAGGACCCAGCACCCAACACCGGTATCAGGACCAGAACCAGGACCAGAACCAGGACCCAGCACCCAACACCGGTATCAGGACCAGAACCAGGACCAAGAACCAGGACCCAGCACCCAACACTGGTATCAGGATCAGAACCAGGACCCAACACCGGTACTGGAACCAAAACCAGGACCAGAACCAGGACTCAGCACTCATCTCCTCCTTGAGAAGGAATTTCAGGATCCAGGGGTTTCACTGGGAATTCGGGACTCTAGGAAGGGTCTCTTTTCCCTTTTCCATCCCCAAATTCCATAAAAATCCCTCGGGATGGATCCTGAGTGTCCTCGATCCCAGAATTCCAGAATGGTTTGGGATGGGATCCATGGAGCTTCAATACCATCCCAGGGACACTTCCCATGATCCCAGGGGGAATCCAAATCCACCCTTGGAAACTGCCAGGGATCCAGGGATTCTCTGGGAATTCCAGCTCTGCCAGGAATTCCTGCCCAAGATCCCAAAATCCCAAGCTCCCCTTTCCCACTGGGAATTCCATTCCCTGGTTCCTGCCGCTCCAGCCCTTCCCCAAATTCCAGCTCTCCTTTCCCTCTGGAAAAGGCTCCAAGGATTCCCTGGATCCTTCCCTGATCCAGGGGAACATTCCCAGCTCTCCCAGCCTGGCATTGGATCCATCCCCTTCCCCGCTTCTCCTAAGGGATCCCCAAATTTCTTTCCCATTCCAAGGAAATCCCCAAGGCAGCTGAAAACATTCCCAGGATTTCCCAGATCCCGTTGGGTTCCTGCCCATCGTGCTGTGGGGTTATTCCCCACTCCCGGCTGTTATTCCACCTTTTCCAGAGTGGGAAAACATCGGAGTGGGTGGGGCTGGGAGCAAGGCTGGGCAGAGACCCAGGTCCCAAATTCCCAAATTCTCAAATCCCAACTTCCCTGGATCCCATTGCTTCCCACATCCCAGCTTCCCAGTATCCCACGCCTTCCCACATTCCATCACCACCTGCTTCCCATTTTCCCTGTATCCCATCTCCTCTGCTTCCCATTTCCCCTGTATCCCAGTTTTCCCAGTTTCCCATTTCCACCTCTCCCGTTTTCCCAGTTTTCCATCTTCCCGTGTATCCCAGCTCCCCGATTTTCCATGCATCCCATTTTCTCTGCTTCCCATTTTCCCTGTTTCCCACCACCACCTCAATCCCATTTTCCTTTTTTC